GAAATCAGTGAGTCTAGCAAATCTCATCAAGCTGCATTCCTCCCCCCACCCCCTTTTTTCTCAACCCTATAAGTGTTTTGCTCTTTTACCTCAGGACCTTTGCTTACCTTGTTGCCTGAAGTCTCTACCCCACCAACTCCTTATCCTGAAGATCTCAGCGCTAACATTATTTCCTCAGGGAGGCCCTCCGTAAAGCCTTGCTCAAGATCTCTCCCTCTCAAGTAGATGCTTCCCTGGACCCTGGACTCCCTGTGGGGATGCTTGTCACTTAAATAAGTTTCTGTGACTATGGAAAATAAAGGGCACTCATTGCTGTTAGTTTAGTGAATGAATCAATTCTCCCTATGGGTCTGTTTTTCTGGAAGGAAATGACATTTAGCAAGCTCCACATGGGGACATCTGAGCCTGTCTTCCTTTCCCTATAGACACTGCTGTAGAGGGCAATACATGCTACAGAGGCCTGTTTGCTGCCAAAAATGCCTAAGGAAGAAAACAATTCTGGTTTTCCCCTCTGCCAACACATCCGGCTGTTGTCCCTGACCACCTCCCTAACTTAACCTTCTTTCTCAGATTCGTGCCTCCACTTGGGACCAAGGGGTTTGGTCTGTAACTCACCAAAAGATGACCTTGCAAAAGTCATTGAGTTTAAACTATGTCATAATCTTAATCTTTCCATTTGGTTTCAGAAATTACTTCAGTCTTCACAAGTCAGTGAATCTTCTCTTGCAGTTAATATTCTAATTTGATGTCTTGGAATTGATTGGTACCAGAGTATACTCAGGATGTGTGCTCACATGAGTACACACAGGGTTATTCACAGCAGTCGCCTTCTTTTAGCAGGCCTGAGCCACATGTGTTATGGCCTGGTTTAAACTCTGTGTTCTTTCTGTGACAGGTGGCTAATTCTTTGAGTTGAGTTCCACGAGTGCTGATTGATTTCACTGAGTTATTTAACCTTTCTCAATCCTTTCCTTTTGTAACTTTTGGCAAGACGTTATAAGATTGTTAACAATTACATCTCTCTTGGGGTATCTCAAGATGTCCTATTGATATTATGTCACTTGAAATCACAAGTGATCAGGGCCTGAGACAAAGGCAGTAGTCTTATGTCTCTTCTCCAGTTAGGAGTCTGACCCATTCAGACTCCCTTAGTTCATAGGTAGGCCCACTGGGGAGAAATTGGGTTTTCCTTCTCCAAGCTCCTTTTGTGTTCTGCACACAGAGCCAAGTGACTTCTACAGTCTCCTAGGCACACCTTTCCTGTACGTTTGTGACTTCAAGCCAGGATTTCCCCTCGTAGTAAGAGGCTCTTTACGTCCTCCCACTCCATTCTGGTTAGTGGGCAAGTTAGATTAGGAGTGAAGCCTGGCAGGGCAAGACGGAAAGGCCATTGTTCAGTAATTGTGTTTTCTCTGACATGATTTTGTGCTGTTGCCTTCCTTTTTGGAATCTTGAAAGTTTCACATTTGTATCTGCTTTTTATTCTATCAAAAACAGAAAGTTTCTTCCCAGGCCTGGCAACCATAAAGCTACTGTGAGCTTTGGGCAAGATCCCAGGCCTTTCCAGGAGGCCTCCTTCCCGGGCACACCGGGCAACGCGCTGCTGCTTAGGAGGGCAGAGGTCTGCCTCACCTTTTATGGTGCCTTTACATATGTCTTTCTCTTCTGCTGCTTCTCCTCTCCCTGCGTTTCTTTTTTGCGTGAAATGCTTTTCTGGCAAATGTATGTGTGGGTTTGCAGTGAACTTTCAAAGCCTGCTTAGGCTAAGCTGAAGGACGGTCACTGTCAGTGAAGGAAGGGAAAAGCACTTACTTTACTAGATCTAGTTACAGAGTCAGACTGAGGAGGACAGGATGTGCAGCAAGGACAAGCCTCATCTGAACCAGCGTTTCCCTTTTGCACTCCCTCAGTCTGTCTGCGGCTGCATCTAAGTTCTACAACTCACACACACACACACACACACACACACACACACACACACACACAGATGTGAACAAGGATACACATTTCAAAATGTTTGTACTTGCAAGAGTCTGCAAATTAGGTATATACCTACCAGTGGAAGAAATGGTAGGTTAATTATGGTACGTCCATGCAGTGAGCACTGTGTAATCATGAGAAATGGTAAGAGTAGTGTGGAAAGGTGTCTGTAACGTGATGTTTAGTGAAAAAGAACAGTGTTGATCTATAAATATGTATATATTTAAATATATATATATATTCACGGATAAGTCCAGAAGAATATATTTACAACTATTAATAATAGGTTATGGGAATGGAATTAGAATGAGGGAGATTAGATATTTCATTTCTTTAGTTTATGTACACTTATAGGATTTAATATTTTTTCAATAAGTGATCAGTATTATAATTTTTGTAATTTTAAAATGAGCAATTATGAGCAGGTAAGGAGTAAATAGTATATTAGTATCATGGGCTTTTACTTGTAATTTTGGATTTCTGTGTGAAGTTCTTTTAAGTTATGTTTGTCTCATTGTTAGACCAGTACTCTTTTTGACTTTGATCATGTGATGTGAACCCCTCCACATCTGTGTTTCTGCCAATATCAGAGGAAGAGTGTCTTCTTACTGAAATGTTAGGCGAGAAGTAGTAATTGGGTTAATTCACCCTTCTTTTGACAAGTGCAAAGGCGTTTTTCTGTAAGAATCTACCTGATGCACAAACATGTTGGGTTTTCCTGTGTTCTGCTCTGTCACCCCACCTATGTGCCCATCATGGTTCCCACCTATGTGCTCTTCATGGCCTAGGCTTGCTGCTTATCAGAAAGAAGAAAAATTATTCACAAAAAGCCATATTGCTTATAAAAATGAAGTATTAGAAATGACACTTTTTTACCTCATGGTATTTGGTTTTTGTGAAGAAAGGAGAAATAATGAACACAATATGAGGACCCTCCAAAAAAAAAAAAGTCCATCAATTCCATTTACCCCTGTTTTTAATTAATCCCAGAGCCTAGATTATTCCTTTCCAATTTCTAGAAGGAAATGAAATTTTTGTTAATAATTTTATTTAACCTGGACTAAATATTTAGAGTATTGGGTTATTTCTATGACTTAAAGTTGATGGTTTTATGTGATCTCCCTGGATGAAGACAATTGAATATTATTGTTCCAAATTCCTTATGGTCCACATTAGTGAAACAGCGATGTATACACACACACAGTAGGGAAAACAGTTAACACGTTAATTTTCCCTCCATTGGTACTTCAGTTCCAAAAGTGAGATCCATGCCTCCATCACAGTCCAGCTTTGGGGTATGAAATTTAGACATGACAGTTAAGACACACCCACAAATGCCCAGTCTACACTAAGGTTTGACACAATGGATAAAAATAGCTTCCAGTCTAGTTATAGTTTGTTATTATTAAGTAATTGTTTGAAGTACAATTAAATAATTGTAATTTAAAAATTTGCTAATTTGTTTTTTTGAGTGCTGAGGATCAAACCAGGGGCCTCATACATGCTAGGCAAGTGCTGTACCACTAAGCACCCCCGCCTACCATTTGAAAGTTTTTGACTGAAAATTTTTGGTTAGTTGGGTCTTTAGATAAAACAAGGTATTGTATCTTTGTCAATAGAACATTCCTGGATTAATTTATAGTCTCTGCCATCTTCTCCAGCTACCATCAGTGCATATGTCTTATCTGGGGAGTAGAGGTTAGGAAGGCAGGGTATCTGTTCTTCTCCATGGGACATAGCCCACATGTGCTTGACTCAGAAGTACCTGTGAAGTGTTCTTTGAATATGAAATGTAGAACAATAACACTCAAAATGTTTTCTCCTTTTTGTTGTTCCTCTACCTTTAGCCTAAAGATCACACCTTTGTGGTATTAGTAACGTGTCTGGAGAGCTGTGCTCTTTTTGTGCCTTGGGACCTTGTTTCACCCAAAACAGGACCTTCCTGTGACCTATGACCTGAAGAGCTATCAGAGAAAATCATCTTCACAGCAGTTCTGCTCCTCAAGTTTTTCTCCTTTATCTATTTCTCCTTTACTTTCTTCCCACTTGAAACATATTCTCTTCCTTGTAACCTGAGAAAGTTATCCTTTGAAACAAAAGGATAATTTTGTGAGGACACTTTGGTGGTGCTCTTGCCAAAGCCCTGGTGATCTTGGTGAAATTAAATTTATGCATTGATCTTTTCTAAGCCTGGGCACTTCCTGTCATCGGATGGGGTTCTGGCCCACTGGCAGGGGTTATCTCATAAAACATTGGTATGATAGACTTTGTGGTCTTTGATTTGAGCAAATCCAGAATCGGAAACGTAATTCCATTGTATACAGATTGCTTTGAAGTTGCTTTCAGAACTCACTAAATCGTCTACATGCTGGTTTTTTCTTTGCTTTTTTCCCCCCTGGGTGGGTTTTCCAAAGTTTAGGTTTTCTTTATTTATTTACTTTTACTTGGGGGCAGTACTCAGAGCTTCATGCTTGCTAAGCAGGTGCTCTATTGCTTGAGCCATACCTTAGCTCTTTTTGCTCTCCTTATTTTGGGAATAGGGTCTCACTTTTTGCCCAGGCCAATTGGCCTGGGTTCTCTTATTTTAGACTTCCTACTGTAGCTGGTATGACAGGCTTGTGCCACCACACCTAGCTTTTTTCCATTGAGATCAGGTCTTACAAACTTTTTTGTCCTGGCTGGCCAGGAACGGCAATCCTTCAGATCTCAGCTTCCTACAAACAGGCACTATTTGAGATGTGGTCTCTTGAACTCCCTGCCCGGGCTAGTCTTGAACCATAATCCTCCCAATCTTAGCTTCCCAAGTAGCTAGAATTACAGGTGTGAGCTACCTGGCTTAGCTACTTGTTAATATAGTAGCTTGTTTTCAGGTGCTTTACTTTCATTAATATTTCCAGGAATGTGTGGATGGGTTGGCTGTCTTTTTGTCCGGGGTATGCCTAAGTAGGCCCTGAAGTGCAGGACTTGCTTTGAGTTCCACAGTCAATTGGGTACACTGATTCTCCATTTCTCCTTCTCAGTGCAATAGCTTCAATCCTGAGGGCCTGGCTTGACCAATGCGCAGAAGACTTCCGGGAGCCCCCTCACTTCCCTTGCTTACAGAAGCTTCTGGATTATCTCAAACGGGTGATGCCAGGGTCTGACCCAGAGAGGAGAGCCCAGAATCTTCTGGAGCAGTTTCAGAAGCAAGAAGTGGAAACAGACAGTGAGTACTTGTTTGGTCACGAGGAAAAAGCTAAATTGTCATTCGCCCGCATGGAGTCAGTCTGTCCCTAGACTGCCTGAATAGGAAATCCCAGTGCCCTCAGAAGGACACATTGGCGAAGGTACAAAATTATTGTATTATCTTCACAACTGTAAAGTTTTAGAGCAAAAATGGGTCTTCACCACCTAGTCTGGCTTCATCTTTTTTTTTTTTTTTTCGTGGTACTGGGTTTGAACTCAGGGCTTTGCGCTTATTAGGCAGGTGCTCTACTACTTGAACTTGAGCCATCCCTCCAATCCTTTTTGCTCTGGTTATTTTCAAGATAGGGTCTTGGCTTTTTGCTCAGGCTTCTGTGGACTATGATCCTCCTATTTACTCTTTGTACTGTAGCTGGAGTGACAGGCATGTGCCATCATGCCCAGCTCTTTCTGTTGAAATGGAGTCTTGCTAACTTTTTGCCCAGGCTGTCCTCAAACTGTGATCCTCCTGATCCCAGCCTTCCACATAGTTTGGGATGATAGGCACCAGCCACCCGTGCCCAGCTTGGCTCTATCATTTTGGAGATCAGACTGGGAAAACAGTTCTGAGAAACTCAGTAATTTCCCAGAGTTTCTTCTGTTGCCAGGAAGAGCATTTCCTTGATGACTTTTTTTCTTCCCTTGTCAACATGTGCCACCCTGAACCTGAATTTGCTTTTTATTTTCTACCTAATGGCTCCTTCTATCAAGTGTAAACCCATCACAAATAATCTCCCCTATCCAGCAGGCAAGAAATTAAATCCACTTCCCTCAAAGCTCAGAAAAGAGGTTTCTCCTTCAGCATAGAAAGCATCACTGTAATGGATCCCCTGGCAGCACAGATTACCGTCATTTAGTGTCTCTGATGGCCTCATCAAGGGAAGTTTCTGAGGCTGTTTTTTCTCATTTGAGGAACTGACCTCTTCTCTAGGACAAAGTCAGCCCCCACTGGAGGTCATGAGGTGAGTAGAACTATCAAGCTTAGAAGAAATTAAGGAAGAGATTCGGACAGGCTTCCGCATGATGTTTTCTCCCCTGATTGGGGTGCTGGGTGACAGTTGCCATGGCAGCTGACCCACTTGGAGCTTCTGACAGGGGCTTCCCTGAAGTGAGGCCTGATTTCCTCAGTGAGGCAAAGGAAATGGCCCTAATGCAGATAAGGGTCACTGCCTTAGCTCCAAAGAAAACACAGCCAGCTTCAGCTCCCCACAGTACCTGTTGAGTATTTTATGTGTGGGGACCAGAAAAGGGGAGTTGCAATTGCATCATCAGAAGCTGACTGCCAAAGGCTCTCTATCTCGGTGACTTCATCTGCCTGGAATGCTTGAATACCAGGGGCTCTCCTCCAGCTGGACCTCTCTTCCCTTCAGGGCCTCCAGTTCTGGCTGTGTGCTGGAGTGGAAAATGCTGCCTTGGAGCCCAGCTCCCCCCACTGGGGCTGCCCCTGGCTCCATGCCTAATTGGGGAACCGGTGGGACCAGTCGTTCTTCCCTTGTCTCCAGCCCAGGGACTGGAAGGCAGAGCTCATTTGGCAGGCCAAGGCAGGGGAGCGGGAGCTCGCCTGACTTCACAAAGGCTTTCAGGCAATACCCAAGAATGAATCTTTTTCTAAGTCTAGAAAATGTTAATGAAGAAAGCTCTAAACTCTGTTTATTAAGTACAGGAGTCATGACCAAAAATGAGTTTTAGGAGCTCGGTTACCATGAACTTATTTTACCCAATCTCACTTGTATATGCTTTTCATAAAATTGTGCTCAAAGTTTTACTTACCTCTGGAAGATCCGAAGCTGAAACAGTGATTCATCAATTAGATCCCAGAAAGGCTCTTGCAGTCCTCACAAATAGCAACATTCCAGATGCAAATCAGATTTGTGCAAGTGTTTGTTGAATGAATGAACGAATGAATGAGGTCAAGCCTTAGTACATTCACTCCTTGGCTGAAGTGTGCTATATATATGGATATATTTTAGCTGTCAAGACGGATGAGAGGCCCTTTTTGAACATTTGGTTGGAACCACATATTTCTTATTTTTCCCTTGAATGAGAGAGTTCCAGAGTTGCATGGAGGAAAAGTGACAGATCAGACGGCTTTACATCTATATCTTGGGATTTTTAGCTTCTTTTAATTTGTACTTTCTTGTGCCCCCGACTCTAGGGACAGGCAGTGATCCCCTCCTACCTTTTCCAGTTATAACTCAACTCCCTTCACATCAGGACCATCAACTCTGGGATCAAGGGCTAGTCCTTAAGGCACATCCCTGCCACCAGAGTCTACAAGTAGCATATGGTACTGACAGGGAAAGTGGTCCAGGGTTCATTCTTAGCACCTCCTTTCCCGTAGGAAACTTAGAAAAAGCCATTCCAACTTAATCTACGATGCCTAAGAAAGTCTTTTGTTCTCCAAGAAACAGAGAAAAGGCTTAAAATATAAACATTCTGGGGGAGTAGTATCACTAATTTAAATTCCTGCTAAGATGTAACTGAATGCAATTAGATTTGCCCTTAAGAACAGGTTTGACAGGAAGGAGAGTGAGGAGTATGAAGGGGTGTGAGGTTGGGAACCAACCCAGGAATTGGGAGAAGGTTCCAGGGATGAAAACCAAACTTCATCTGATTCCAGTCTTTCTAAGGGGAAAGGGGAGGTCCTATTTCAGGTGGTTGGCTCTCAGTTTTCTTATCTGGAGCCCTGGGTAGTGATTCTCTCTCACTTCTTCAGGCTGTGTCCTATGTAACTTGTTAATTGATCTTAGCTATAATGAGGCTCAGGTAAATTTAGTTTAAGTCTATTCTCTGGCTTCCTGCATGCTTAGCTTTTGGTGGACGCTGAACGCAACTCCATTTTGAGATTCCTTACATATATTTGAGAATTCTGAGGGCTTCACTGGCACTTATGACACCCAGATGGCCATTATATCCCCTCAAAGCCTGACCTCTCTTCATGCCCAGTCTTTCAGGTTTTGGGTTCTCAGTGGCCCAGCCACTAAAAGTTGTGTGGCTGGAGTATAGGAATTAGTCAGATTAACCCAACTAATTGATTGGAGGGTTTGTGGGGACATGAGATGGGGGTTACACCTAAATGTTGGTCCAGCTTTGCTTCTCAAGTCTGTACCTAGTCTGCCTAGGAAGTGTTTGCCAGTGACAGCCCGCTCTATAAACAATCATATCAGTGGTGCCCAGTTACTGACTTCTTTTCATATGTGAACAGATGGGCTGCCCAACACTATCTCCATCAGCCTGGAAGAGGAAGAGGAACTGGAGGGTGGAGGGCCAGCAGAATTCACATGCTTCGCAGAAGACCTCGTGGCAGAGCAGCTGACCTACATGGATGCAGTAGGTCCTCTTGTCATGTCTCAGATGTGCTTCCACTTAAAACATGAGGCAGTGACAGTACTGGTGGCCCCGAGAGGGCAGTGGGTTAATGAGATTGAAGTCCTTTTGAATCCTTGAGAGAGGCTGTGCCTGTGAAGGCCAAGTTAAGATGTGACTCAGATCAATCCTCTGAACAATGCAGGCCCAAGGTCTTGTTGCAGGCAGGGTGAGGGTGCATTTTCTTTGGAGCTCAAATCGCAGAGGGAAATAAGAATTCTAATCCTAGTGAAACAAAATCTACCCTGTTCCATGGATATTTCACTCCCTTTAGACTCATAAATATTTCAAGAGCTGAACTGTTTATTTGGAGGATTGGGAAGGGGTCAGCACAAGTTAGGATAAAGTAAATTCATTGAATCCACATGTGACTATATTTGACAGCTCGTTTCCATGTGTGCTTCCTGTGTTTTTTGAAGTTTGAATGCTTTTGTAGCTACACATATTTGACTATGTCAGCTGCATTTCATAGCTTGGTGTTAACTGGTTTACCAGTTAGAGAGAAGAGGATCATTAGCAACGATCGATCGCAGGGGTTTTAGCTCTTCGGTATTACTTACTTTAGAGAAAACAGCATTGAAGGTAGCAGAATTTCCACCTAGTGAATGTGCAAGTGAATGCACAAGTAAAATATCAGAAGTAAACCAGATAGTCTATGTAAATTCTGATCTTTCTCTAATACAAACTCCCATACAGCTCATACTGAATTGTACAAATGAGAAACTGGTTTGTTCAGCAAAAATTTTTGGTTGCACCTCTAATAGCAGAAGGGAAAGGTGGAAAAGTTCATTGGTTATTACTTCAACTAATAAAGTAAATCTCTCTTTCTCCCTTTTGCTATGTAATGTTGAATATTTTTTCCTTTTGCCTGCCCCTTTATTTTAAAGAACGTGAGACAGTGACGTTGATGGGTATGGCCTATGCAGGACTTCTGCAGATCCCTTTATGGTGGCCAGTCTGCGTTACAGGTCATTCATGATCACGAGCACCCAGGGCGTGCCTGGCCATGACTTGAGGTTAAAATGTCCTGAAGTGCGTTTTTGATCGATATTATAGTTTTCACTTGTTTTTCCTTAAGACAGATAAGTCAAAATAGTTTTTGTCCTTTTAATTTATTTTGGGTCATTGCGTTTTATTTGCTCCCTCAAGCAGATTTAAAAAGATCACATAGGCTCTTCTGATCCATTAATATATTGATTATTCACTTTTGTCCATGGCAATGGGCACCATGAGGCAAATCAAGTAGAAAACAATTATTTGTCCCTTTACAAAATACCAATTTACAGATGATGTGCTGTGCCATATGAAATGTCTGCTTTGTCCTCAATGTCAATTCCTCTTTTGTTCCAGCAACTATTCAAAAAAGTAGTGCCTCACCACTGCCTGGGCTGCATTTGGTCTCGAAGGGATAAAAAAGAAAATAAACATTTGGCTCCTACGATCCGTGCTACCATCTCTCAGTTCAATACCCTCACCAAGTGTGTTGTTAGTACCATTCTGGGAGGAAGAGAACTCAAAACTCAGCAGAGAGCGAAAATCATCGAGAAGTGGATTAACATTGCTCATGTAAGTTTGTCTTTTTAAAAATACTCTATGTTTGGTAGATATTGGAGACCACGCCATCACTTTGTTTAAACAGTTTAACCATTTGGTTAAAAGACCATATGTGCAAGTCCACTGGTTGTTTTTTGTTTTGTTTTCTTGTTGCTACTCCAAAGAAAGAAAAAGTTGTCTTCTTAACCTTGAAAACTAACTTTTTGTCTTTTTTTTTTTTTTTTTTTTAAAAAGATCTCCTGCTTGCTTCTTTCCACTCTGGTTCCCTTCATTGTTTCTTTTCTGGGGAGAGACATTCTGTCTGCTTTTCCCTTTCTATTCATCACAGGGTGAGTGTCTTTGGGTTTCTGCCCCATGGTCAGTAAATATAAATCCATGTCACAGAGACTGCTCTTCATTGCTGAATTATTACCCATGCACCCTTCCTGTACTTGGAAACATTGTAGACTCTATAGACTTGAAGAGCTGGTGCTGCCTCACAATCCTGCATTGCTTTTCTATAGTACTGAGACACTCCCACAGATCTTTCAGTAATCTGGGGCCTTTCTGAGAGCCTTACAATTTCAGACCTCAAGTCAGAGGGGACTAGTCTATTCCTAGACCTGAATTACATTCTGCAGAGTGTCAGCAGTCTAATCTCTTGGATCAACTGCTTACATGCCATATGACCTGATCAACCTCTTATGTCATGATGGAGAAAATGGTAGTTGGTTGGACACAATTTTGTGAGCTCCTAACGTGTATAATCTATAATATTCTATACTATAGAGACATAACAAACAAGATAGAACATGACGCATTTGATCCTATAGGAGTCAAGAATGTGGAATCACCTCAGCCTGGTCACTATAAAAGTGGAGAAAGAATAAATACCTTATTAGGGTTATCAAGTTGTCTGGATGAAAGAAGTAATGTTTGAATTTACCTTTGAATAATAGAATTTTTGTACTTGACGATTAAAGAAGTTTTTTTTTTCTTCTAGGCAAAAGAAAATGCATCATCAAAAATGATTTTGGAAAATATTATAATATTTATTCTATAAATATCCTATTAGTTTATGTTCTGGATTATATGGGCCAACCCTCATTTGCTTTGTATCCTATTAGATGTATTTTTTCATTAAACCTCTGTCCATAGGGCATAATGTCTAAGTCTTTCACATTCTTTTGTTGTTTTTGATTAAAGTGCAAGGACATAATTGTGCCAGAAAATTCATTTTATTTTGAGTCTTTAGATAGTCTATTATTTTAGATGTGTTGGTATATGAAAAACAGTGAGAAAGAAGCAAAGAATATGAGTTGCTTAAGCAACTTATATTTCTCCTATTCTAAATTGAGCTTACTTATCAACAAAAATAACTACAAAGGAAGTTCAGATGAAGTGTGATGTTAGTATAGAGTCTCTCTTCTTAGAATTCTAAGAAAATATTTTTTGCCATAAATGTCATAGCATTTACAGTGCTCTGCATATCTGAAATGCATATGTCCCAAATCTGTTCAACTACTGAGAAAGTCTCTAGCAAGGATATAGTATGTGTGTATGTCACATAGTGTAGCTCAAACAATGATTGGTCCAAGTTCAATAAAAATTGTACACTTATGTGATGATAGGAAATATACTTTGAGTAGTTTGGTAAATTCCAAATTTCGTAATGTGCAAAAAAGCCAAGAGCCCTTACGTTGATTGCTATAGATTTTTCTAATAGTGTGTTATGTCTCTTGGAATTGTGTAGGTTAAGTTAATAAAATAATGAAACTCACAGGTGGTTCTCTGCCAAGGTTATTTTACTTTTCTTGCATTCATTACAGTCAATTTCTATTAAAAAGATGTTTGAAAATGATAATTTTTATGCAGAAAATATTTCTGACCTAATATGGGTATATTTTCTTGGACCAACCTCAATGCTACATTTTTGCTTTCGCATCATGTCTTCTGGAAGAAGCTTCCTCCTTTTCTAGGAATGGGACTGGCTGCTTCTTGTATTCCTTTAAACACTTAGTCTAAGCCTCTTTCTGAATAATGTGTTCCAGATGCTTATTGCAATTTGCATGATATATCTGTGCCTGCATTCCTTTATTTATTGCAGGTTTCCTGATTTTTAGAACATAACTTTTGGGTTCTGAACCTTTGTTGAACCATGCTCTCATAAGTTGGGTTTCTAGACAGCTCTCCCTTTCTTCCTCTCCTCTCCTCTCCTTTCCTCCCTTAATAACAGGGGGCATTGAAGCATTTTAAAATAGTGGGCATGACTTTTATAAAATATACCAACATTTACTCTAAAGAAAATTGAGGGTTTGTTTGGTATAGTTCTCAGTAGTTAGATTTTGGCCTGGTAAACTAGAGAATGCTGTTTCTTTTATAGTCAGGATGAGTATTACTTCTTGAAATGACCCTTGAAGTGACTTGAGTTTATGCCCAACCACTCTGACCTCTTGCCCCAGATGCTGTACACAAAGCCAAACATGTACTCACATGATAGGCTCAGTAGTAAACAGTGAATGCATTACACTCCCATGTGCCTGTATGTGAAGCATCTCCTTTGATGTAGGCATAGTCCACATGTCCCATGTCACCACCTTCCCCATGCCTGCCAAGAATGGGACCCTGTCCCTGACTGTTTTACCCTCCCTGATACTCATTCAGCAGGACTTGGACTCCAAAGTCACTGACTGCTGATGCCACAGGCTGTGCTCCTTAAGGTAACATTAAGGGGGGAGCCCCTCTCCTTACCCAGAAAATGACATCCAGAGTGTTTCTCATTCTCTTTCTGTTTTGTTTTAAGACACTGCCAAAATGAATCTTATTTTAAAAGCCCAACTTATTTTGGAAGCATTGAAGTACCAAGGTGTTTCTGAATGTTTATGATTGTGGGACAAGCCAATTTGAAACCAAATGAATGTGTATAAAAATATTCCCCCTTGGCTAAGAGCATGAAAGGCAAAGTTCAACTTGTGGTGAATTTTTACTGCCAAATTATACACACCTCTCAGAACAAGGGTTGGTCAGTAGATGTCTGATACCATCTGAACTCAGAGTGGCTGCTGCCCAGTTCGCCTGTGGGTCCAAAGGATACAGGGATCCTTCCTGTATATTTCTAGGAAGTGTATGCTTTTCTTTCCCTCTTATAATGTGTATGCTTTCAGAAGAAGAAAGTTGCTTTCTCTAGCCTTTCTTTGTACACTCACCTCCATTCATGTTTTTACTGGGAAAGCTGGAAACTATAAAACTGTAACAACAACGCAAAAATATATTAAAGAGAGAAAAACAAGCATACTGTGCCAAAATCTATAAAGTGTTTCAGTGACTGAGGCAGAAGGAAGGAGTCACTTTTTGATGTCCAGTATTTATACAGCTGCCTCTTTAGTGGTAAGAATTCATAGCAGCTGTGATACCTCTAAAACAGGAAACCGCCAACTCACTGTAATATTGATATTTAAATGCCTTTTATGTCTTAATCACTCCCCATACAGGAATGTAGGATCCTGAAGAATTTTTCCTCCTTGAGGGCCATCGTTTCTGCACTGCAGTCTAATTCCATCTATCGGTTGAAAAAGACTTGGGCTGCCGTCCCAAAGTGAGTTCCCAAGCATCTGCTTTGGGTGTCTTTGGCCGGGTGGTTAGTTGCTGCTTCAGAGCCATGGGTTCTCCTTACCTTCAAAGCTAATCTTATACGGCAAGAGAAGCATATTTGGGTTCTTCTGTGTGTTCCAGGGTGGGTTGCATTTCATACAGATTCATAATGAGTTTTAAGGCAGAGCTGCTATGCAAATCAAACTCATTCCCAGAGTGTGTCAGAGCCATGATTATTGGCTTTGGGGATGATTGGAAGGATGTGCTTATTGTCTGGATTTTGAGGGATAAGATTGCGGAGTTTTGATGTTTTGGCAATTTGCCATGACTTCTGGTTAGTTCAGCCTCATTCCAAAACCCTAAGTTATTCCAGGATGTGAGGGATAATGTGTACAGTGAGGCATTAGTTCTCGGTGTTCAGCAGGAAACTATTTTATCCGTATCTGCCTCAGTATATTAAAAGCTGTCACAGTGATGTTAAAAACCTCAAAAGGTTCCTTTCTAGGTACCTAACTGAAGTTATTAATCGACCACATTCTATGCTACCTTTCTTCCTATTTCTTGGTGCAACCTTTGGAACAATTGACATCTTAATGTCCTTATTATGTCATTACTGCTATCTCTCTCTTCCACTTCCAGAACTTGCTTGTAGATCAGAGAACCTGAAGACAAGGGAAGGGCCGTTCTGGTGTCTTATCAGTACAGATTTAGAGGCTAGGACTTGTGTCAAGGGCACTGACTCGATCAGCTGCGTCTGAGGCTTCCCACATTTGAATTGAAAAGGATGTTGGGCTGCATTAAGGAAGAGTACAATAACTATGTAATCTGTCTTAAATGCAATATAGTCACTTCAGGTTAGGAGAGAGGCCAGCTGGCTTCCCAGCCAGGGCTGCCCTGGTGGAAGTGGCAGCTCTGTCCTCAGAATGAAAGGTCTGGATACTCAGTTATACAGTTCAGTCAGAGACAGCTAAGCTTAATGGACTGACACTATACAAACTTACAGGAGACCCATATTAACAAACCAGAGTTTAATAAATTTATGCTGGAAAATGAGTGGAGAGGACTCAAGCTCACTGATAAGCTGATATTCTTACTCAGGGAGTATTCTTTATGGGAGAAGTCACATATTATGTTCTAGATAATTCTTTGATGGGTAAAAAGAAACAGTTGGCCAGGTACTATGGTTCACTATGTAGTCCCAGCTCCTCAGGACGCAGAGATCGGGAGGATTGCAGTTTGTGTAAGTAGGAAGATCATGAGTCAGCCCAGCCCAACATAAAGCAAGAACCTATCTTAAAAATAAGCAAAGCAAAAAAGGGCTGGGGGCATGGCTCAAGAGGTAGAGTACTTGCCTAGCAAGCATGAGGCCCTGGGTTTAATCCCCAGTACTGTTAAAAAAAAAAAAAGTTATAGTGGATGATCTTAATGCTTCATATTATAGAGCCCCAGAAGCCCCAGCCACTTGGACTCCAAAACTCGTGCTTTGTTTATGACTCCACTATCTTTCAGGAGAAAAACTGGCAGACAGGCTTTCCAAAGTCCAATGCAATTTTCTTGACTGCCACTCTTTTCTTGGGTTCTTTCTCTTTTTTTTTTTTTCAGTAATGAAGCTGATTCTGTACAAAAGTTATTCGTTGATTGACTAGTCCTTTGTACAGATATTTTATGAAAGATATGGGTCAGATAAAAATCATTAGACGATAGTCCCCAGTATATACAATGGGAGGATCAGAAGCACAGTGTCCTTATCCTCTGTGCCCCACACCACCCCTTCTTCCCCTCATTACCACACTCCACCCAGCTGTGGTATTGGAAACAAAGGATGGTCATGTGCTAACATGCATCCCTGTCTTTTTTTTTGGTGGGTGACTAATAGGACACTATGGAAAGTCACCTAGGTAGCCTAAGATTTGTTCTATAGCAAGTTTGAAGGTAAAACACAAATTAAAAACTATAGTGTACTTGTATCTTAGCCTCGGTGGTTACCATATGAGATGATCCGTTCTTCCTGCTGACTTTTTAAACTACTTTTTGAAAAACAAACAAAAAGTCCTGAAAGCTGAATTCTGTTCCACATGGCTGGTTTGTTTCTAAATTGCTAGGCTGGTTTTCGTTTTAACAGGGATGCTACAGAGGGTCACAGTCCCTTAGGGAAGATCCTTCCATACCAGCTTTGTATGCTCTCCCTTGCTGAATTCAAGGGACAAGGTTGAGATATCTTATTTACTTATCACTTTCCCTATAATCGTTACATTTCTAGCTTTCAATAGACAGAGAGGTTCCTTACATGTTTCTCTTAGCATCACATATAATTAAGTTCTTAGTTACTTTTTCCAAAATATAAATAATTTTAATAGCTTTATTATACAAGTAATTATGTACTCAGTGTAATGTAAGTGAGTTCTTAATAATGGATTTTTCATGATAACAAAAATAAAGATATGGCCCTAGTGTTTCTTTGCTTCAGAATCACCTGCTCAATGACCCTGGAGGTGTGTGTAGGACAAGCAGGGGACTCTGGAGGACAGGAGAGGGGCAAAGGCAGTACAGGTGCTTCGCATACCTCACCCCACCTACCTTCCCAGCAAGCCTACAAGGGTGTGGCACTATTTCCATTGTATAAATAAGAATATCAAAGCTCAGAAAAGTTGTCCATGATCACTCAGGAAATAGGTGGCAGAGTTGAGATTTGAACCCTTCCTGCTGGCTGCAGAGTCCACCCTGGTTTCACCATTCTATTCTGACTCTGAGAATTAGAACACTGGCTTGTGGTGCTCTGTCTCTGCAGTTACTAGTGGAGACTTGGAAAAACCTTGGCCATATATCTCCTCTAAATAGAGGGGCCTGGCCTGGATGATGTGTCAGGTCCCACTGGATTCTGTGTGTGTTGCTAGAAATAGAGCTTCGAGCTTGCTAGGCAGGAGTTCCACCACTTGAGTCACCCCTCCATCCCTTTTTGTTCTGGTTATTTTGGAGATAGGGTCTTGCTTTTTTCCCTGGCTGATCTGGACTATGATCCTCCTATTTTAAGCTTCCTGCCATACCTGGGATGATAGGCATGTGCCTCCACTAAGAGCTTTTTTCCATTGAGATCCTCAGGATCTCAGTCTCCCACATAGCTTGAGGTGACACTCCCGAGTAGTTAGGATTACAGACATGAGCCACTGGTGGCCAGCACTAAGATTTTTTTTAATCCTCTGAAGAGAATATGTCCCAACTGAACAACCATTTATGATTTTAATGTACATGGTTAGAAAATATTCCTTTCTCCACACAAGTAGCTATGCTCAACCTTAAAAAAAGTCACCAACATGAAGAATCATTAGCTTCATCTGTATTCATGTTACCCACCAAACCTGAGACCAGAGCAATCTGCCATAGCTCTAGGTACTAAGAACAGCTGGGCTGAAGGTTGCAGGTTTTTGCTGTCTGTTCATTGTTAATATTTTTTTAATCTGTCTTCACAGGGACCGAATGCTGATGTTTGAAGAACTTTCAGATATCTTCTCAGACCATAATAACCATTTGACTAGTCGTGAACTGCTGATGAAGGTGAGACTCTTGGTGAGGGTACTGGGTAGAACTCTTGACAGCTCTGGAATCCATTCAAGGGAAGAGTAACTTGAGGGTACCTTCAGTTCCTTATCTCTCACACATAATCTAGGAAACTTGGGGTTGAGAAAATTCAAAGTCCAATTGAGCGCTTTCCTCCTTCTACACTCCTTAGCTTCCCTGTTGCACAACCAGATTGTGAAATTTCAGTTCATATGTGTAGCTCTTTAACAAGCTACTCTGCAAATACCAAGTGCTAGCATTTGGATGAGTGAGAGGCTCTGGAATATTCCTTCTCAGCAAAACATCTAGAATGACAGTGGCCAAGCCTGCAATTCCACATCCTTTATTTGGGCCACATTGCACAATCTTTTAGTCAGCAATATTTACTAACCACCAGATTTAGTGGTGACTTCTGAATACATGGTAGGCCAGGGTATAGTGTGGCTTATTATTTCTCCAGAAATGTGTTAAATGTCTAATACTTATAAAGCATTGAACGTAGTAGTAAACCTCTAGAAATATGAAGATGACTAACACAGAGCCTGTTCAAAAGTTTACCTGTAGTTGACGGCTGTGGACACTAAACAATATGTAGTCAAAGACAAATAACAGATTACGAACAATCAGAGGAACTAGCGTAGGCCATTTTCATAGGCTTTCTGTAAGTAGCTTTTATTATCCGTATTTTGCAGATAGCCAAGACTCAGAATGGAGCATAACATGCCCTGAGTCATGTTAAATGGTGGTAAAGGTGAAATGTGAATCCACCTTAGAGAGACTCAAAACCTGTACTTTCATTGCTCAGGGAGAGAGCTGTTTCTTTTGACCTCTTAGGAGTAGAGGGAAGAATAGATCAGGTACAATGCCATAGAGAAGGTAAATCAGTAGTTTGGCACAAAATATGGATTGAGCACTCATTATGTGCTAGGTATTGATGATGCAATCATTTTGATATGCATCTCTGCTCTTAAGGGAATGCAGTCTCCTAGAGAAGTAGTCAATTATAAAACGGTATATATGTTACCATAGAGGGAAGCCCTGAACTGGGCAAGTAAAAGATAGATCCTTGTCTTATTCTCCTTTTCTACAAGTTGGAGAAAGTAGTGGTAATGGGGTTGTAGACCTCTTAGAATTAGCTCAAAGTTTGAGAATGGTAGAATATATGCAAGCATAGATTGTTTTTAGTATTCACTAAGCTATGTACGCATAAAACAAAGCTGTGCATAACAAATGAAAGTGAAAAAAGCATAAGCTACATATTTGAGCTTAGGAAGGGCGCTTGGAGTAGGAATGACAGTCAAGTGGAGATATGGTTACTGAGAAAAGGCACCCTATTGATAACTCCCATCAAATTCTAAACCTAAAACTCACAGACTAGTCATGCTGTAAAGGGCATCTGTTATGGTTTTCACAGCTTCTTCTCCTGAATTCTACCCATGCTTCCTATCTTGGTACAGACTCCAATTTTTCTTTAAGTCTTCCTCAACCCTGAGGTCTAATTAAGTGCTCTCAATGTGTTCAATCATTCCTTTGGCCTGGAACTTAGCACATACTCTGTTGGACTTGCCTGTGGACTTAACCTATCTCCCTACTAGCTTGTTAGCTTCTTCCTCAGCTGGACAGAGACTCGATGTATCTTTTTGTCATTATTTTATCCCTAATACCTAACACAGTACCTAACATGTAATATGTGTTCAGAAACTATTGTTTAACTGCATGAATTGATTTTTTAAAATGTGCCTGCTAGTAGCTTCTTCTTGGAGTAGATGATATGAGCATGATAGTTTATGCTGATGTCTGACTTTGGGTTTGGACTACCTGATTAACTATACACTAAACCATGATTGCTTCACATTCCTCTACATTTTCAGGCTTTAAATGGAAACCCATATGACTGGAAGGAGATGGTTTAGTGGTCTTTCTGTCTGTAATGAAAACCCAGACTAACTGGAGCCACACATTCAAATCCCAATAGCCCTGAGTCATCCTTCCAAGGTAGATAAATTGAATACAGTGCAGCTCATAGCCTGGTGGCAGTCTTCTGGCTGAAACCTTAGAAGTAAAGCTATATCTAGGCATTAAAGATCCCATGAGTCTTTTTTAAATATAGAAGTTAGATTTCTTATACATGGCTCAGATCCCAATGAAATGAAAACCTTGGCTATGAATTCATGTGGTCTGTGCATTGTCATTAATGATAGTGGAATGCTTTGGGCAGTCCGTGTGTATATGTAGGTCCCTTTCCTGTCATCTTTGTTGACCATTATTCATATGAAGTATATAATTCTGGGTGTAAATTCTCAGTACAGTTGTAAAACATGAAATTAAGGTACTTAGCTTCTCAAAAGAACCACTGAGGAAAACTACTGGGCTCTGTTTCTGATATCTTACTGCTAGACTCATCCTGATTTATGGTTGAGTAATCTTAGTTTTAAATGACCTGTCTTCTACTTCTGGGTGAACGTAACCTGCCATTTCTGTAATATTATGACCAAGGCAACTTAAACATTAGCAGAAATCTGTGGTTTTCCTTTTAAGTGTTAGAAAAAATATTTTTAGTTTTTCTCAAAGCTTGCCTTCAACTTGCTATATCCTCACAATTTCTAAAACTTAGATAATTCTAAGCAGGTGAATAATGGAGTCCACAGATTTCCAAACAACAAGAAAGTAGACTATCATCAAACCTTGGTTCTGGTGACTCTTGATGAGAAGTCTCCCTGGTTGAATTGATATAAAAAATTGTTAAAAGGCCCCAGAAATTTGACTCTGCTGAAGAGATGTTTAGTGCAACTCAAAACATGCTAATATACAAGTTGGAGCAGGAGGCTATTATAACTGTAAAGGCCTATTCAAATAAAAATTACCAGTAGCTTCTGAGCTATAATTTGGCCAACATTTATTGAAATGGATCCAGTGCCTACTAGACAAAGTCCTTGTAGACCTAGTAAAAGAAGTCCTTCTGGGGCCAGGAACAATGTGGACAAGGGCAACTGAACACTGCTAAGATGGAGATAAAGAAGGGGTGAGAATCAGGTAAGAAATTTGCACTAGAGAGAACAGAGGTTGAGAGACGTGAGGAGAGGAGAAGGAGCAGGAAGTTGGTAGAGGCAGAGGGAGAAGTTTGAAATTTATCCTGACATATAGGTAGTGATGAAAATCGTGGGCTTGGATAGCATTTTCCAATGACATGAGCATATTGCAAAGCAAGAAGGTGACTTGGACAGAAAGAGGAGTCACTGAGAGAGTCTGAGCATGAGCAGCTCATGACTGAGGAGGCAGGAGCAAAGTACCAGAGTGATACCATCACGATAGCCTTTGAAAGTTTGAAGAAGTTTCAAGGGATTGGTGGTGTGGGACAGAACAGCATCGGGGATTTCAGGCGAAGGAAGGGAAAACCTGAAACCTCTGCATATGGCAAGTAAGTGAATTTTCAATTCACACCTTGTTTGGAAAAAGCTGGCACTTTTTCTTTTTTATTTTTTTTTTCAGATAGAGTCTTGCTAGGTAGTCCAGGAACTTATCATCCTCCTGCCTCAGCCTCTTGAGTGCTGGGATTACAGGCATTGTGGCATCAAGCCTGACTTAATAGCCAGTCTTTGTAGTTCTGCAGCCAGGGATGGCATCTCATTCTCATGAAATCATGAAGTCAAGACATCAACAAATCTTTTTATTCCCCATCTCAGGTCTTTCTCACTCCTCTGTTGGTCATTCCACCTCTGTTGTTCTATGATTCTCAGGAGCCTTTTAACTTTTCAGAA